CATGCGCCTGTAATTTCTCCAGCACCCTTACCCTTTAAAACCGGACACACAACAACAAACAAAACACACTTTACAACCGAACACAGTAATGCTGACATTATTGCTTGGAGGCAGAAATAGCTAAGGTGGCAATATTTCCCTGGACGAACTCTTTCACAAGAAGCTCTACTGCTACTAAACGTGCTACTAACAAAAGGCCTTTAAACTGTTATTGAAAGTGCTTTATCTAATTGATAAAACGACATTAATAACTTTTAAAAATAAGAGTAGAGACATCGAAAATTGGCATGCAGACTTAAATAATGCCTATAAAATCTCTCCTTGAAAAAGGCCAAGTTATAACGTTCGGGAAACAAGTCTGCATGCAGGGAATTCCATTCTTTAGCCATTCATTTAATTAATAATAATAATAATAACGCACACACTCAACCTAGCACCGCACTAGGGAAACCCTGTGTCGCGGGTGTCATGGACGCACACATAGACAACCACAAATTGCACCCAAACTCATGAGAGAAATAAATGTAGGCCCTACAAATATTTGTCCCGGCTCGGGAATCTAACCTGGCACCCCTGCGTGGCAGTCCGGCAAGGTAACCGTTCACGGCTACGGAGGCAATTAAAATAACTAATTGAATATTAACAAAGTGACGTTTATTTTTAAGTAAATACCAAATTTTGAATTCAAAGCAGTTCTTCGATTCTTCGATAGAAGCGTTTGACGTTAAAATTTTGGATTTTTATTTTAAAAAGTTATTGCTGTCGTTTTACTCATTAGGTAACGTACTTTCGATGTCAGTTTAAAAGTTTTTCATATCTCTTATATTTACGGAATAATCGCCTGGGCATACTTAACGATTTCACCGTGTATACACAGAGGAAATAACTATTATAATTATTTGTATAGTCGTGTTGGTTAGTAAATAGTAAAATTTAATGAAATTGTTGTTACGATGGACGAACATAAAATATGTCATTCCATAAGAGTTGGTTTTGTGTAGTGGTGTTTTCAATGATGTTAGTTTGTATAAATGAGTTGTTAAATTATTTATAGTGTGCCGTAATATCACATATTACGTACGAGAACGTTTATCAACACATCGAGAAAAAAGGGCATAAAAGCCAAATACAAATTAACAAGACAATTTAAAACAAAACAAAAATTTATCATCGGTTTTAAACATATCGTTTTTTAGTTTTATAGCCGTGTTTAAATAAAAGTTTAAAAAAAAATTTCCTAATTACATCACCATCATTATCATCATCATCAACAACACATTTATACGTTCCACTGCAGAGCACGGGTCTCCTTTCAAGCTAGAGTATAGGTCATAGTCCGCCGCCCAATGGAAGTTGGGGATTTAACACGTTTTCCGAGGGAAAAGAGATAATAACGCACACACACAACATAGCCCCGCACTAGGAAAACCCTGTGTCGCGGGTGCCATGGACACACACATAGACAACCACAATCGGGAATCGAACCTGGAATCTCTGCGTGGCAGTCCGGCATGGTAACCGTTCAGTAACGGAGGCATTTAAATGGAGGCAGTTAGATGGACAGCCCCATATCTTTCTACATTAGTTTCGATTATAGGGACTTTCCCTACCGACCCTTAGAGTATACGAGAAGGGCACTGTAACCTGTGCGCGCCCAGGAACCTTACAAGTTCAGGTTCTGACCCCAGAGCAGCCAGTGCACAGGGTTGTCACCGAACATCTATCACTTGACTTCATCCGGTTCTTCGAGAGCATTGTGCCTCGGGTGAGCCGCCCCGGGTGCACGTACAGTACCCTCCCTATTTTCCAGATAGGTGCCGGAGCTGTAGGCACGCTCACTTCCCGTTGCGCATTGCACAACTAGCAGTTGTCACCGGTAAACCGTCGCCTCTGAGTATTCATTGGTGGCGGAGCTGTAAGACACGCTCACTTCCCGTCGCCGAAAAACGACGTCTCTCCAGTTCCCAATAACCTAAGCGGCTGGAGGGGCCGGAGGATATCTAGCTTATCCTCTACTAGCTCTCCGGGCTAGTGCCGGAGATGCCAGTCGCAGTATCCTGCGACAATGTTGGGACATAGCTTCCAACTTAAAGGGCAACTCACGTGCCCCGCGCGTCTCCTCGCTTCAGGCCCTCAACCAGACCGCTACTAAGACGCGCTAGCTGTCACGAGACAGACGCCCCAGACACATGCCACCGGGGCAGACAAACATGTCCGTCTCTGCAGCTAACCATAAACCAAAGCGAGTCTATACCCAAGTCCGGGTCCGCCAGAGATGCAAAGGCGTATCACTGGCGGAGGACTTGGCCCGGACGCCCGCTGTACCCTGGTCTTGCCGTCGAGCCCGTAGTCTCTCCGGAAAACCCTATCTCTAGGGTCGGTAAATAGGGACAGCGATGGACAGTGGGTTAAAACCCAATGAACCAGTCCGGGTTTTAACCAGGTGTTTACTCAAAGCGCAAAGTAAGTGGGTTTTAACCCATTTCTGCCCAAAATCGTGTGCAGGAATGACGAATAGAGAATTTGGTATAATTTCATTCTTATTACAAATTTTGATGTAAAAAAAACTTTAGACGAAAAAGAGGCAACTCTACACTATTAATTTTTCAGCCGTTATTGTCCCACTGCAGGGCAAAGGCCTCCCTTCATTTTTTCCACTCATTATGATTTAACGTAGCTACGGGGAGTTTACTCCCGTTCTCCGTTCGACATCCAAATCAAGGTTCATACGCATCATGTCTGTCTTTTATTTTGGTCGCCGAGTACTACTTATTTGACAGTAATTGTTTCGGACAGATGTCAATATGTAATATAAGCGTCCAACTCGTCACGCCATCTCCTTCTGGGTCTTCCACGTCTTCATCTTGCGTTCAGTGGGATCCACTCCGTGTTGAGCTTTGGCATGCGGCAGACCTGTCCGGCCCAGCGAGTATACCCAGTTTTTTGCCTATCAAAAATAAATTGCCTCAAATGTTTTCTAAAAGTATAGGGGGTATAGGAGCCTAGTAAGGAAAATTGATAATAAAACTTATAATTTATGCATATTACATTTTTATTACTTACCAACGTATCCTTCGTTTATCTGGTTAATAGATAATTACAAAAAAAATGAAACTAAAATACAATATTTGGTTAAAAAGACAAAAACTAAAACATGTCATTCGTTCCCATTACCACACAGTTCGGGAAATGGGAGCCGTTAAGTATCTCGTATTTCAAATGTAAGCCATTATAAATAATCATTCCGAAAAAATATATAAATTAAAGTAATGAAATATGTAACTTAAAAACTAAAGAATATCCAATAGATACTGCAATGGAGTGAGGAGGGCCAAATAGCGTTCATTACCCGCGTAACATCGAATCGAAAAAATAAACAGTAAAAACATTTCTATTTTTATTGTAATTTCAAGTATAACACCCACAATTTGATATATATGGTGACATAGTTAGTGTAAATTCAATGTAGTATCCGTGTATTTTAATGCTTGCCTGGGCTGATGAAATTTGGCAATTATTATAAGCAGAGAAAACACACAACTATCTCGTACGACTAAACGCGGTGTTCTGCGGGGGCGGTCGCGGGAGTGGAACGTTAACGAAGACATAGGAGCGCCGTTTGCACAAATGCAAGCATTGGGAAAGTCCAGTTTAACACCGCTCTCATTACCCGCGGGCTCTCAATACCCCACGTCCCCCTAAACTTCGGTTGTATGAACTTAGATGTAGTTTGTTTACTGTCAGTTGCTTCTACGGTAAAATTAAATTCAAATTAAATTGATTAAAATTGAATAAAATAATCCTTAACGATGATATGAAACAACACCATGGATAATATCATAGGTGCGACTATCGTTTTACACTCCAAAGTAGCAAAATAAGGCATATTACCATTGACTTACAATTATATGGACGTCGGGTCCGCGCTAAAAAGTGTCCGAACTTATAGGGCGTTAAAATCGTATACAGAGCGTCATTCACGCCCTAGTCTTCGTTTGTTCGACTGACAGCGAAGCAAGCAAAATTAGACAGTACTGCGATGACATTACAATTTAAATTCAACGTTTTAGCTTTTTCATATTCCTTGACATGTCACTACGTTTAAATAGGTTGACTTGGGACACTTTTTTCGTGGTTTTTGTATTAGACCCGTCGTCCATTTATTTGTAAGTCAATGCATATTACCACGATTTTCGAAGTTCTGAGAGGGATAATTGACGCGATCATAATATAAAAGTGAAAATGGCGGGCTGAGCTCAAGTTTGCGAAACTCCGCGTACTGTTGGCCCACGTGATACGTCCACTGAGCACTTCTATTGTATTTATTGTTCTGTGGTCACAACATAGAACACGAAATATCTCAATACAATTATGTATGCATATGTGCTAAAAAGACGATTTACTATTAATTATTAATACAAAGATCGAACACTCAGAAAAAATTCCTTCGATCCGGTCGGATTCGAACCGACGTCTTCTAACGTACCGTGCCAGACGTTATACCAACTAAGCAACGGTACGAACCAGCGGACCTCACGAATTTCTCTATGTGCTTGCGTCGTATCTTTGTATTTGGTATTTTCAACGACTTTTTTTATGAGAAATCTATGAAATTTTATCACCAAGTTAGATATCTTTACAGTTACCAGGCCTGGCGAGAGATGTCGCTACTCACTGTAATTTAAATTTTTATTGAATTGATATTCAATTATTTTTTGGGAAATTATTCCACTAGTTTGTTATACCAACTAAGCTTAGTTGGTATAGCGTCTGGCACGGTAAGCTAGAAGACGTCGGGTCGAATCCGGTCGGATCGAAGGAATTTTTTCTGAGTGTTCGATCTTTGTATTAATAATTATAACAAACTAGTGGAATAATTTCACAAAAAATAATTGAATATCAATTCAATAAAAATTTTAAACACGATTGACTATTTTTAAAGCAGTAATCTCTTTTATACAAAAATACCATAGATAACAAATTCAATATTTACTTTCCAGAATGACGTGGTGCATTTTCTCACTGGCGGTGACGCTAACGGTCGCGTACGTCGACGGCAGATACTCCCCGCCGCCGGATATTGGGTATCCTGTAGGATACATTCCAGAATGTGAGTAGAATCATTATCGTTAGTTTAGTAATGACATCAAGTGACGGGATGTGCAGGTGATACACCTAACCATAATAGTTACGGCACTCGGAACTTTAAATCGCTAATATTAGAGCGGTTACACACGGCGGCTTTTGGCAGCAATGCAAATGCGATACAAACGCGATGCAGTCGCAAATCGTCTACCTTTACACAAGCGCGCGTTTGTAAGCAGCGATGCAAACGCGATGCAATCGCGCGTTTGCATCGACACAGGGTTTCCCTAGTGCGGGGCTATGTTGAGTGTGTGCGTTATTGTATATTTAGCTTCTCTAAAACTAATTCTTTTAAAAAAAAACAAATAATTGTAACTGACTCTAACGTTTAATCAATTATATAAATTTTATAAACATTGAAACAAATCTCTCACACTTGAATATAAAGAGCAAACACGAATATCAACGTACAAATAACATAATTGTAAGGAAATCAATGATACATAGGAACAGTAAACGAAATAAGTAAATCTCTTACGAAAATGGCAGGTACACTGTCTCGCTAAGATGTTGACGTGACGAACGAACGGGCAGCAATGTGTCGTCAGGCGCCTTTTATAGTTTTGCGACTGTAAACCAGACACCTGGGCAGGGGAACAGCTTACAATATTATATTATTATTATAGAGGCGCTTGTTTGAAAGATAGATTGCCTGAAAGGCGAAATAATTAGACAAAAAACCAGTACAGTGAGAAAGAATAGAGAGTTTAAGGCTACGGGAACATCAGAGTTTAGAAGCAGTAGAACTCCTTGAGAAAGAGTTCGTCCACCAGGAAGTATTGTCACCATATCCATTTCTGCCGCCATGCAATAATGCTTACATTACTGCGTTCCAGTTTTGAACGGTAACTGACGGACTGAACGGACACTGGTGAAATTACAGGCACATAGGACTTGTTAACTTTATGTCTCGGGTCAATTTGTTTAGGGGATTTGTTTCAAGTTGTTTTTTTATAAGCGCGCTTGTACGCTTATATCAAACAGCATTGCAAAATTAATTAAGCGCAGAATTAAAAATTATTTTAATGCTACTATGATTAAATTAGTATAAAAGTTTTAATTAAATGGAGTAAAACGTTTATTATGTTGTTTATGTATTATTTGACAAAGACTGATGATAGGATATTTGACATGTTATTTTAATTCAAATTATATTTTTTATTAGTTCGCGCGCGGGTTGGGTCTTTCCTTCACACGCCATTTTGTGCTTGATTTTCGATTTGGCAGCGCGTATCAGTTTCTCAAGTTATGGATGTTGAAGTCGATCAATTAATTTTCTATCAGTTACCATTTTTCTTAAAAATTCTGGATTTGTCTTCATGTTTTTTTACCTCATTAATAAGAACAACGAATAATCCGTAACGGTTTCTTTCCTGAATCAGAGGATGCACCCAGAATCTTTTAGGCCTTCTGAGTCCATGATTGACGATCTCAATCGATTACTACCTGCTCGACTAACTGCCCGTGTCATAGAATAGGTAGGTACTTGTCTAATGGAACTTGTATTGTTATGAGTTGCATTTTGGATAAATAACTAAGTAAACAATTTTCCATTACATTCATTTATAATTGCCTCCGTGGTGGAATGGTTACATTGCTAGTCTGCCACGCAGAGGTTCCAGGGGGTCAATTCAGAACCTTACGATAACTCAGTTGTCGACCGATTCGATTTGATATCGCACGATTTCTTTTCATTTTTGTTCACAACACCTGAATCGAACGTCAAACTGGCGTATCCGAAACGAAACCGAAGTGACGTCACACCCGTACGATTACTCGAACTTCTCGACCGGCAAAGGGTCCTATTGTTTACAAAGCAAGAATATAATATGGAAATCTCCTATTATTTAAAATAAAGTTTGGATTTTGTGCAATTTTATTAATTTATTTTAATGCAAGACTAATGCATTCCTATAAAATCTCAGAAAATCAATAATAATCTTATATCCACAATAATAAAAACAAATGCAAAGCGACATGGAATACCATTTCATCTACAATTACTAACAATACCTGTAAAAATGACATAAAACATATACGACATAACAATATGACATATTGAAACCCAGACGACATTTGTAATATTTTTAACAATTATTTTATAGATTTGACAAATAAAAATAACCTAACTCAACTTAACTTGACTAAAAACTGCATGACATATCCATCTAATTCATTGAATAAGAATTCCCATACAATATTTTTGGAACCGATAAATGAGAAAGAAACTTATAACATAATTATGTCTTTAAAAAACACCAAATCCAGTGGCTATGACGGTATAACAACTAAAATACTTAAATGTGTGCCTCTTATATCTGTCATCCGCTTGCACATATTATAAATTTATCGTTTAGTGATGGCCTTTTTCCAGAACAGCTAAAAACTTCTGTTGTCAGCGAAAAAGGCGATAAGGAAAGCCCAAGTAACTATAGATCAATTACTTTAATCTCGACTCTATCCAAATTATTTCAAATGGCTCTGCATTCCAGAATAAATGCATTTTTAGAGAAACATAAAGTAATATATCACTCTCAATTCGGATTTAGAAAAGGTAGTTCTACAACTATTGCATGTTTTGAGTTTTTGCGCATTGTAACGGAAAGTATAAACGTCTCTACTCCTGTAATGTCAGTCTTTCTAGATATGACTAAAGCCTTCGACTTTGTAAACCACTCCACCACAAACACACCACAAACTCCTTTACAAGCTTGAAGCATACGGTATTAGAGGAACTGCCCAAAATTGGATAGAGAGCTACTTAAAATAAGTAGATTAACAAAAAACAAACACAATAATAGATTACAAAAACAAATTTTTAGATCACACCTTAAGATGACTAATGCTGGAATACCGCAAGGTAGCGTCTTGGGTCCGTTACTGTTCCTACTCTACATTAACGATCTCCCACAGGCTATTGATCATAATTGTATACAATTTGCTGACGATACAACTCTTATAATAAAATGCCAAATAAAGCGACTTTTAACACTGACGTAAATAAAGCACTGACAGACGTAATAAGTTGGATGGACATCAATGACTTGAATGTTAATATAAGTAAAACCAAAGTTATGACATTTAGTCTTGTACTATGGGGTAACTCTGTAATCTTAGAAAGAGCGTTTAAAGTCCAGAAGAAGCGTATTTGAGCAATTTGCGGTGCGCGGTTCGATGACAGTTAAAACCGCTGTTCAAAAGGCTGAACATATTACCTTTGCCATGCATGTACATTAGGGATATTTGCGTATTTGTCAACTCTCATCCTCAATATTTTAAAACACGCGGTGAAGTCATTCAAAGGCAAACTAGAGCAAAAATTATGAATCTCTTATACCAACCTCATTGCAATAAAGTAATTTATAAGAATAACTGCTTCACCATGTGTATAATTATTTACAATAAATTACCAAATGAAATTAAATTGTTACAAGGACATACTTTTAAATTAAAATTGACAAAATGGCTTTTGACACATTGCTTCTATAGTATTAAAGAATACTTAGAATTTACAAATTCATTACATTAATTAGAAACTATAGAGACTAAACATTGAATCCCATTAATATTTTCACATCTGCTTGCAGGTTGAATACAACGTACCTAATTTTACTTAAGACCTTTGTAATTACTGTATTCTGGCAAATAAACGTATTCTATTCTATATTTTTGGGCCTTTAAAGTCTTAAAAGTGTTAAGTATATAAAAAGATTTTAATTTTTCTTATAATATATTTCACCGACTAACTCCGTAAACGCTGTTGGATAACGATATCATCGAACGTTTAACTCGAATGTTCTGAATAGCTCGGAAAGCGCCCTTCGATTCGAAAACGATATCCATTCGACGTTTCGGTTAAAATATCGAAGAATTCTGAATCGGGGTCCTGCGCCGGCAGAAATATTTGAACGGACTATATTTATTTGGGTGAAATTTGTAGTTCTCTATGTGCGTGTCCATGGCACCTGCGATACAGGGTTTCCATAGTGCGGGTCTATGAGCGTGTGTAGTGTTATTACAATTGTAATTGAAACTAAAACAATGTTCAAATGCTAATTGATGTTTATAACCGTTGTAGTCCTATTAACACTCTTGTTAAGATCTTGTTGTTGACATCATTTGACATTGGCATAGAATGTATTATTACTGGCCGTGAGATCGTCTTTGGTATACTCCGCTTGCTACCAGGTGGTTAATAAACGTTACACTAACTGTGTTCATTCGTACCTACATATCGCACACTGAGAATGACAGTGACATATTGCAACATTTTTGATTTTGACTAATGAGAAATTGAAGTTCTGAAAATTGTGATAAGTGAAATTTCTTACTCAACTAAGTAATAATAATAATAATAATACAACAACTAAGAATGCGGGTTTCAGCTAAAACAAAAGGGAACCTATATAGTTTTAGAAGTATTATACAAATTTACACGTGCCACAATAAAGGTATTTTTGAGAATTTCGTTTAGTATCACTGTTCCTCATAATCTTTTCATGTAAGTTAACATTTCATATTACGCAATATCTTCATAAAGGATTCATAAAAACAAATTATGCCGTGAAGTATAATTTTAAACTTCGAAAATAACAGGGTATCTAACTGTGTGACGAAATATCATAGATTTCTCATAGATGGCGCTACGACTAAAAAGTCGTTGTAAAACCAAATACAAAGACACGACAACAAGGACATAGAGAAATTCGTGTGGTCCGCTGGTTCGTTCCGTGGCTTAGTTGGTATAGCGTCTGACACGGTATGCTAGAATACGTCGGTTCGAATCCGATGGAAGGATTTTTTCTGAGTGTTCGATCTTTGATTAGTAATTATAAAAGGATAAATTATATCTGGCTCAGCAATCCTGTACTATGTAAGTGTTAATTCAAAACATATATAAATCGACACTATCCAAAAAATGACGATATCCTTCACGGAGTTGCAAGTAAATCATTTCACAACTTT